AACAGTTTTTAATTTTTATTTCTAACATTATAATTTGTTTTCGTTAGTTAAAATTATGTAAATTTTACTAATATCTAGTAAAAACTGTTATTTACACTTGGGTATTGAAATTTTGACTGAAATAAAGTAATAATATTAAAGAAGAGACACTTCTATAATTCAACTTTAGGAAAAGTTATAATAAGATCTATTTAGTCTATCTTACAACTTTTACAAAGGATAAATAAACTGAGGATCCTTTTTACGCGAATAAAGAGCTTTTACTATAATAGTAATTCTTTCTACCTTTAAATTATTTATTAAAAAAATTCTTTATTACCCAGATGCGCCAGAAAATCAATTCTCTCGAATCCAGAGCCAAGGCTCAGGCATAGCCACGAGCCTGAGCCAGGAAAGCATTGATTTAATGGACCTGGGAAAGATAAAAATCCCCGAAAACCTATTGAAGCAAACCCAACTGTATCAATCTTTAGCCGAAGACACAAAACCAGGCAGCAGTCGTGACGACGGTTCATTGGTAAGTTTGGACTTGGTAAGAACAGATCAAAAAGTCGTATTATATTCTAAGAAGAATAAAGATAACCAGGAACCAACTAAAGTAGATGAAGTTGATAATAAAATTAATCAAGTTAATGACGGGGGGGTTGTTGAAACTTCTGACGATAAAAATAACAGTAGTCTCTGTATAACTTGTATGAGTAACGAGAAAGATGCTGTTTTCATGCACACCGGTCCCTTGCACATGTGCTGTTGTTATAAATGTGCGATGAGGGTGTGGACCGAGTGCAAACGTTGTCCTGTATGTAATCGGAAGGTTAGCAATGTTAAAAAAGTTTGTGTAGCATAATTGTATAAAATGAACTACTAGCTGCAAATAATTATATTTTTTTCCACTTGTCAGCCCGTTTGTTTTTTATGCAGGTTTTCATAATTGAATAGTCCTTCTTGTATATAATAAAATATATATATATAAATATATAAAAATAAATGTATAATGAATTATTTAAAGCGCGTGCAATTGAGGATTAATATATTTTTTTATAGTTATATGTAAACATTTTGCCTTACTTTTGTAATTAGCTTCTAAGATTGTCATTTATCACTGCCGGGGATTTTGAATCTATTCATTTGTAAATATAGATTTAAACACACCAAAATGTACATAATGATGGAAAAGATTTCAAAAAAAAAAAAAGGAAAATGATATAAATGACAACATCTAAAAAAAAGGAACACAAAAAAAACTAATGAATTAATAAAACAATTTTATTTCAGATAAATCTGTTGTTTTAATTAATACTTATATTTTTTATTTTCATACAGTTTAAAATAAAATGTGATCGTAAACTTATAATTTTAGCAATTCTTTGGTTACAAAATATATAAAATTTAAATATAAATTAAAACCTAATAAATATATTAATATTTGTAAAAAAATAACACATGTCTGTTTGAGCATTTTAAATGCATTTGTCACAATTTTATTTGTGCTGGTGTGTGGATTTGTGCAAAATTGTAATAGATACAATTGATATATATATATATATATATATATATATATATATATATATATATATATACTAGATGACCCAACTGGCGTTGTCCTGTATCCACGTCTACAATTCAAAAGTTCCAAATTTTTTAATATCCTATTCTACAATTTTTAAGATCCTATTTAATGTCCTGCCTTTGTTATCCTTTTATGGTCTTAGCATAAGCAGTATAAGAAATTCAGGAAAAAATAATACAGTATATGGGTTAAAAAAACAATATCACACTTGATTTTACCACACAACATAATTGCTTCAATAATTTAGTCTATAATTTTTATAATCTTGTACAATATATTAGTTGCTTTTTGGCAATTGTAATTTTTAAAATACATTTTTCTTACTAATAATTTAGTAGACATTATTGTTTATGTTCAAATCTTATGTGAATTATAATTATAATTTGTAAAATCTAGTTCATATAGTGGATAACTAAAAAGTCATTTCAGCAATAATTTGTTACAAAAAATCTATTCTATGACTTCCAAGATTTTTTTATCTAAAAATTCAAATTGAAAATAACGTTGAAACTGTCCACAAATTTGATTTGGAAATTTATTTAAAAAAAAAAAACATTTAAAAAAAAAGCATGGATAAAAATCAATCGAAAAAAGTGTCATATTTTACAGTTTAGTATACAGTGATATTTTTTTTAATGAAACTTTTTTTTTATTTAATTTTTTAATTATTATAATGAATTTCTCAGAACTTTAAGTTATTATTTCGTTTTGAAAAATGCAATCGATATTTTTTGTTCTTAATCATTTTTATTTTTTGACTAAAATATATATTAAAATTGATAAAATGTTTGTCTACACAAAGATTAGGTCTCATTTTGTATCTTACTTGAACATATAATTATTTCTACAATCATTAATAATTCCTTTTGTCTCATATTTTTCAGAATATAATTGCAATAAAAATATTTATATATTTAAAATAAACACAATGATGTGTTGTTAATATAAAAGGTAAAATAAAATAACATAAACTTGTTTGATTTTCAGAATTAAGTCATTTCAACTAGGAAATCGAATGAAGAACATTTATTTGCGTTTTTTGCATAATTAAGACTAACATATGCATAAACAATAATTCAGAAATAAAAAGTATTTAGAGTTTGCTTATCCTAATATTAAAAACAGAACAACCTTCAGCAAAACGTCTTTTGATTAAATTTTCTTCAAAATGTAATATTCAAAAAAAGTCTGTAATATGTTTTAATGTGTTCTGTGAGCATAGTTTGTTTGGGATTTTTCTATTGTTGTCGAATTGTTGAATAGACTATTATTTCATTGAGTTATAAGTTTGTACTTTTAAGTGGGTAATTATTATATAATTGTGCAAAAACATGATTTGGTGATTTTTGCTTTGCCGTAATAGTTTTTAAATTATCCTTTGTTTTTACTTTATATTACGATTTCCACAATATTAATATGTCAATTACAAAGAAAGAAAAACCTGATTGTTTTTAGACCTCCCTTCACAACAAAAAACCCTAGCATTAAGTGGTTAAAAGCATTTTTTTTGTAAAATTACTATTGGCAGTTATGCTGAAATTGTAATAGTGTAAAGGTAATGATATTATTCTATTTTTTTTCCTGTTTGTATACCATTGAAAGAGGTTATTTACGGCCAAGGATTATCACATACAGAATATAGCGTACAAAATGGTATTATTTTGAGTTATTTCATACCTAGAAAGTCATAAAATTGCCTGTGAGACGAGAAAGCAACCACTTCTTTCGACCCAAATCTTTGTATTAGTAAAAAATCTTAAGCAAATGTCTGTATAGATTTAGTACCAGTTTAAGGAAGTCAGATAAGACAAAATCTCCTATATATGTATATATATTATATATATATATATATATATATATATATATATATATATATATATATATATATACGTGTATATATATATTTCCTTTTTTGACTTGTGGCTGAAAAACCTTAACACAATATATATATATATATACATATATATATATATATATATATATATATATATATATATATATATATAATAATAATAATAATAATAATGGGTAGTGCTGCCCTAGGGCAGATCCGTGAGCTGAGTTAAAGTCCAACTCGATTCATATATATATATATATATATATATATATATATATATATATATATATATATATGATATTTGTTTATTTACTGTCGACGTTTTGGAACCAGGTACGTTCCATCTTCAGGACATCTGCCAAGAAACATGATCTGACACGAGATTTTAACACAAAATATGTTTAAGAAAAGCAGAAGATGGTGGATTTTTTTTATATATAATGAATAAAAATGTGGAAAAAATAATGTACAGAAATTAGATAATAATGATAAAAATAAATGAGTGGATTATACAACAAAATATTAGAAATGTTAAAAAATTAGTAAGTTTTAAGAATTAGTAAGTTTTACTGAAAAAACAGAATTAATTACCTGTATGATTGATTATACACTAACACTTTTGCACTAAAAACGATTTAAACAAAAAAAAAATGTGATTTTATAAATTTCTTTTCAGATAAAGAAATAAAATTTGTAATTCCAAATTTCTTGAAATTATGTCTTTTTTGAGTTTGTTATGTGAGACAAAAAGTATTATTTCCTTGATGTTATGGGATGACCATTTGGTAACAAACTGATTATGTATTGAATGGATGAATTTTTAAAAAGGAACAGTTGACTTAAAATATGTGTGAATGTGCGTGTGTGTTGTTTTTACTGACCCTTTTTTTTAAACTTTCTAATTTTATAACATTTCTAATATTTTGTTATATAATCCACTCATTCATTTTGATTATATTGTCATATTTCTGTACATTATTTTTTTTAGCAATTATTTTAATTAAAAAATCCACCATTTTCAGCTTTTCCTTAAACATATTGTTTGCTTAAATCTTATCAAGATCATGTTTCTTGACAAGATGTCCTGAAGATGGAACGTACCTAGTTCCGAAACGTCGACAGTGAATGAATAAATGGTTTTTTAAAAATCTCTTCTATTTTTTATTACTTTTTGAATTCTTTATTTTTAACTTTATTTATTTGGATATATATATATATATATATATATATATACATATACATACATACATACATACATACACATTCTCTTTCTTATATTTCAATTAATAAATATTAAAAAAAAATAATTTTGCACTAACAATCATTTACCATTTACCATTTTGCACGAAATCCACACACCGCACAAGGACTTAATCATATATATTAAAAATAAACACTCAAATCTCTCTTAATTTAAAAATGCCTTTAGACTTTTGACTTTCACCTTTTACCTTTCAACTTAAACCTAAAACAGTACGGTCGAATTCCATAAAATGACTAAAATAAATAATAATACTTTCCTTCCTTCCTGACTCGATGACTCACTGGTTGATTGATTGACTGGCTGACTTTTAGACAAAATATAAATAAATATTATTGTGCAATTTTTTGTACTTTGATTGGCGGCTCCGTTTTGATGGATTCGGTTAAATATGAGGTATTCAGGACTAACTGGTAGTAGCGTTTCGTATTGGGGCTGTTCACCGGGAAGCCGAAGGCTCGAACACCGATCTTTTGCCATCGGGACACTTCGTTCCTGGATAAAGGATAAAGCATCTTTTATACATATAGAAATACTTTGGATATATATACTGATATATATATATATATATATATATATATATATATATATATATATATATATATATATATTGAAATATGTGAGTTTGGTGTTGATATATATTTTGATGAGTTATTTAGAATCGGGCAGTAACACCAAGTAAAGAAAAAAAAAACTAAAGTAGTTTTGAAATACTTTATTTATCCATACGTTTCGGTCTTCATCGAGACCGTCATTCAGTGGAAAAAGAAATTAATTATACAAAAATACACTACACTATTACACTGTGATAAACCAGGCTATTAATAATTGGAACATTTAAACTAATTAATTTTTTTTGACAATTTTTTGGTTACATTATAGTGTGTACAATTTGACTAACGTCTAAAAACTTTATATATATATATATATATATATATACGTGTATATATATATATATATATATATATATATATATATATATATATATATATATATATATATATATATATATATATATATATATATGTGTGTTAAAGAAGTTAGTTTTGATGTTGAGAAATATGAGTAAGTTCTTCAAGGGCATACATCAAATAAAAGGCAAAGATTTAGAAGTTAATCTTTAATTTTTCCAAACGTTTCGACATAGTATTTTAGAGACTACAGCCTCGGGCTCTGTCACATAAACTACGTTCTCTGTGCAAAATATATTATATATTTCACAAATATTTTGCTATGCTCTGTTCAACAAAATAATATAAAAAAAACAAGTTAATGTATATATGATAGTGCAAAATTATGTTCCTTGCGCTAGCTACTGATGTAAGACCATATTTATATCCACTGATGATGACATAAAATACTATGTCGAAACGTTTGGAAAAATTAAAGATTAACTTCTAAATCTTTGCCTTTTATTTGATGTATGCCCTTGAAGAACTTACTCATGTATATATATGTATATATATATATATATATATATATATATATATATATATATATATATATATAGGGTGGTCCTTAAAATGGTCATTTTCGAATTTCCTTGCTCCCAGGGGCTCGAATGGTTCCAAATAGATAAAAAACAATTCTCTGAAAGTTTTAGCTCTTAATATTAACGTTTAGATAGAGCGCAATTCAATCAAAGTTTTGTATGGAAAGAGCATGGAAAAAATTTTGAAAATTTAAAAAAAATTTAAATTATTTTTTCTTTTTCGAGCATACACTAGCCAGATCCCCAAATTTCAATTATTACTACAAAAATTCGAGAAACTCAAAAAAGAGATAAGAAAATGGTCTTTTTTTTAATATATATCAAAAATTCATTTTTTAATATAATCCTAGTATAAACCATTACGACATCATTCTAGATTAATAAACTTTTTAACTTCGTCTAGGGCAAGTTATAGTAATCGTAAAAAAATCGAAAATGAAAATTTTTATACATTTTTACGTTTCAAAGGTTTTTTAACATTTTGGCATACCTTAGAAAAAATTGATGTATGTGTGTGCGGATACAAATTCTCGTCGACTATTTCGGGAACACCGATCAACCGATTTGAATAATTCAAAAAACATTCGATTCGTATTGATAAGGAGACGTGCTGATTAGTTTTTGACGACGGCAGGTCTAGCCGTTCCGAAGATATGGGGCAAAAAGTGCCAAAAACGGTAACTCAGTTTTTAAGAGTACGGAGAGTCCGATTTTAAAAATTCAAAAAACATTTTACTTGTATTAACAAGATGAAGAACTGATCAAATTTTCATGAAGGCAGGTCTAGCGCTTTCGGAGATCCAGCAAAAATAGTAAAAAAAGCCATTTGACGGTCAAAAATGATCATTAGACATATGCACAACAAATTATCAGATATTTTATAAAGATTTTAACAATAAGAGCAAAATTTGGTTATTTTTCTATGGGTTCCGTACCAATGTTATCCGTTATACTGCGACGCGGCGCTCACGCGCTTCGATATTTCGTTTCTACACAGCTAACGATTGCTTTGAAAAATAATTCAAAATTTCCAAAATATGAAAAAAATCAAAAATGTTAAAAAAAGTCAATTATTTTCAAAAATTTTAAAGATCTCAAAAATATATATTATTTTTAAAGTTCTAAAAGAAAAATTTAATCTTTTTTACAAAATTAATTGCCAAACTAATTTTTGGTACGGGAAGTTCCAGCAATTTGCCATATACCACTAGTTCAATTTGAAATTATAGAAAATTAAAATAAAGAACTTTGTTCCTAAAATAAAAAAAGTATTAGAGTTCTTTATTCCTAAAATAAAAAAAAGTATTAGAGTTGAACAACCCTTAATAAAAACAAATTTTGTTTTTTTTTAAGTAAGATTTAAGCTTTTTCTTTGAGTTCAAAAATCTGAACTAAAATTATGCAAAAAAAATTCAATGATAAAAAATGATTGAATTACTAAAATGGCTATAAAAAAATAGAGGTTGGTGATACCAGAAGTAAAAATTTTGGGTTGTATGTATTTTTTAATTACACATTATAAAAAAATAAAAACAAACAATTCCATCCAAAAATTTAAGGGTGAACAACCCTTATCACTTAAAGGTATGAAAAATAGGTAGTAGCCGATTCTCAGACCTACTGAATACGCATATAAAATTTGATAATAATCGGTAAAGCCGTTTCGGAGGAGTACTTGAACGAACATTGTGACATAGAAATTTTATATATAGGATTATATTAATTTATTTAACTTCTCATGGGGCAAGTTATTGTAATCATTTAAGATTCCTCGAACATTTCATTACGGTACGGGAAGTTCCAGCAATTTGCCTTAAGGCATGATGCCATGCACTAATAGTTTTCAATTCAATTTATTTTCAAATCAATTTATTATACTTACACACTCAATAAATTTTTGTGCACAATCACAGCTGGTATTCCTAACAAAGGAACAATAAACTCCCTCACCACACTATAATACAACGAGGCAGCAAAACCTGTCACCAGCGCTGGTGATTTCAGCCACAGAATACAAATTATGGATGGATCCATCCTCCGCAACTAGAAATAAACATCATATATATATATATATATATATATATATATATATATATATATACATATATATATATATATTACAATTATACTTACTTTGTATATTGCATATGTTGAACTTAGTACTAAAATGGAATTGTTTTTAATCTGTTCGTAGTGTTTCAACATTTCCAAGACACGGCTGCTCGTGTTGTGTCTGCCAAGGCCTATGTTCAGGAGCAGCCTGATGCCTATTTTAGATTTGTCCAGCAAATCGAGGGCATCTTTTAAAGTTGGTATTCGCTCATTGGGAAATTTATTGCTAATGTAATAGACACAAATATAAGTAAAGATATATATATATATATATATATATATATATATATATATAATTTGAGTTAAAAAGTCGGGCGTTACATCAATAAAAATAGTATGAGAGTTTTTTTAAAAAATTATTCATTTAAAATCCATACGTTTCGGCTCGCATCTTAGCCATCATTCAGTGGTAATCAATTTAACTATCAAAAGTAAAACTAGATAAATAATATGCAAGAAATTTCATAGAAAAACAATAATAATAATAATAATAATAAAACACTTACAATTTTGTATCCTAATATAGCATATGAAACCATTATTAATCCATGGTATGAGTATGTGCAAATTCATAAAATATCTATTTTTTAACATCACAAATGGTAAAACATGCTAATAAACATGATAACTTAACAAGTTGTCGAAACTATGTATTTACTGTTCGGAGTTTAAGATAGAAATATCACATTTTTTCTTAAAGCAGTTTTTAGCATGTGTTCAAATTTTACGGGAAATTTAAAAAGCGATGGGATCTTGTCATTTTTTAAGAAATTTTGACACGCTTATTTAAGGAACCACGTGTTTGTTTCGTTCATGGCCGTATTGTCGAAACGTGTTTATGACTTTGTCGTTATGTAATTGTAAAAACATCCTCATCGAATCTTCTTTTAATTACGTTCTCTTCAAAATGTAAATTTTTTGGGTTTAAAAAATCTATATTATGGTTTAAATTAATAATATGCTCGGTTAACATCGTCTTAAATTGTTTGGAATTTTTTGAGTTATTTTTATGTTAATGAAGGCGTTTACTCAGGTTTTGGATAGTTTCTCCGATATAAAAAAGTTCGCAATTAGAGCAATTAATCTGATATACCAAGTTCCTGAGGCGGTCAGAATAAAACTTAGATTTAATTTGTGTAAAAATTGAACTAAGGGTTGTATTGCAGTTACATACCAACAAAATGCCACATTGTAGAAACAGTTTTTTCCACAAAAAATATAAATCTTTTACATATGGTAGACACAAAATTGTGAGGGTTTTATTATTATTAGTATTATTGTTTTTCTATGAAATTTCTTACATATTATTTATTTAGTTTCAATTTTTATAGTTAAATTGATCACCACTAAATGATGGCTAAGATGCTAGCCGAAACGTATGGGTTTTAAGTAAATAAACTTTTAAAAAACTCTCATACTATTTTGATTGATGTAACGTCCGACTTTTTAACTCAAATTAAACATATATATATATATATATATATATATATATATATATATATATATATATTATAATTATCAAACCAAAATGAACTTTCTAAAAAAAATTACATCTATACATAAATTTAATTATTTCAATATCTTTTAAAGATTTTAATAACTAACCTAACTGACTAAACTGAGATAAAAAGAGAATTCTTTCTATTCTATAATAATTAAATAAGCGTATAAATATGTAATGAATTGTTATAGAGTTCCTGAAAAGGGGGACATCTCATATCCTCGAAACGTTGAATAAAACACTTGAAAAATTAAATATAAGGTTTTTGAAAAAAAAACAGTCTTGCGATTTAAAGATTTTAAAATCAAACAATAAATAAATAAATAAATAATAGCTATCCAAAAAGTTAAATAATATATATATATATATATATATATATATATATATATATAATAAATTGTTTCTTGGGCATCCATCCAGTAATTAAAAAACAGTTTTAATGAAAAATGTTTTTATTTATAGAGAACATACGTTTCGGGTCTGGATTTGACCCATCTTCAGTGCATACAAATAAACTTTGAAAAACAACACAAAAACACAAAATTGCACGCAAAATAAATAAAAGTGAAATAAAAAATTGATGAAACGTCGAGTTATGAAAAATTTTGAAAAAATTGTAAAATTAAAATGAATGATATATTTTATTATAAAAAAGCTTATTCCAAACGAACATGTTGTTAGTTTGGAAGTTGTATTACGAGTGACACACTCGTAATACAACTTCCAAACTAACAACATGTTCGTTTGGAATAAGCTTTTTTATAATAAAATATATCATTCATTTTAATTTTACAATTTTTTCAAAATTTTTCATAACTCGACGTTTCATCAATTTTTTATTTCACTTTTATTTATTTTGCGTGCAATTTTGTGTTTTTGTGTTGTTTTTCAAAGTTTATTTGTATGCACTGAAGATGGGTCAAATCCAGACCCGAAACGTATGTTCTCTATAAATAAAAACATTTTTCATTAAAACTGTTTTTTAATTACTGGATGGATGCCCAAGAAACAATTTATTATATTATTTCACCATCTGAAGAAAAACCTCTCGCTTTATATATATATATATATATATATATATATATATATATATGACAGGTTGTCAAATATCTCCCTTCCGCCTTTTTGTATTATAAACCAAGAGCAAAAAAGCGGAAGGGAGATATTTGACAACCTATATATATATAGATATATATATATATATATATATATATATATATATATATATATATATATATATATATATATATATATATATATATAGTCTGTAATATTTTATATTAACCTTAAAGGATGATTCATAGATACATTAATTTTCTTCGTTTGTTCATAAGTTTGTTTCGATATGTGCGTTTGTATTGTTTCATCACATAAGACTAATATACCATCGGCCGTTATGCCTATATCTAATTGTATTGAATTAAAGCCTCGGGAAATGCACTGGAACAAAAATAATTGTATTTATATAAGGGCACTGAGGCAAATATTACAATAATTGATTTTGAATGTTAACATTGTAAGAAGAAAAGTAGTAATAGATAATATACACCTATGTGCTATAAAATATTATTATGGGATGTTAGTTGTGTGATTTTAGATGTCAATAGTAAGGAAAATATATTTGTATTCTACTTGTGGTTCAAAAATGTCTGTGAGATGTTTTATGACGAAGATATACTTATATTTGACTCGTTTAATGCAATATAAATGATGTCTTCTATGACTAACATAGTTGACAAAGAATTTGCTGCAACAGTGATGTATAAGGAGCAATATGTCAGCAAAATTAATAATAATTCTTCTTACTACAGTTCACATTCAAAACCCTGTATCAATTATTAACATGTTTAATAGCCGTCAATGTGTTCCCAGGTGCATCAAAACAAGCCCCTCCTTTGGCAAACGCCCAGGTGACTCCACTATCCGTTTTATTAGGATCAGGACCCAAAACTTGTGTCACCAATTTCGAATTTGGTGTTGAAGATCTGAATATCTTAAAGAAACACCATAAGGTGAAAAAGAGCATGGCAGCCCAAGGAATGCCGACGGTAGCAACGTCTCGGATCACCCATAATATATCGAGGCATATTCTGAATATCAAATAAGCATAATAAAATAATTGATATATCATAGTGCAAATTATGTATTTAAATTGACATAACGCAGTAAACAAACAAACGCGACTTCGGTCGTGGGTGTGACATTAGTGTTGCCAGAGGAGGAGGATAATCGATAAGGGGAAAAGGGAAAAAGATTGATGGATAAGTTTGACAGGAAAATACATTTTTGGATTTTTTATTGAAATTAGCATTTGGTAACAGTAGAGTAATATATTTGTATCATTTTAATAATAGGTGTGAGCAATATTTCAATTTCATTTTCATAATAAGTGTGATTAAATATATTATTATGTGCATAACCTGGTTGTCAAAGTAAGTTTTATTTGTATATTTTTTTACATTGTGTTTATAAATATATACATATTTTGTTAACATCCTAGTTAGGAAAGCACATATCTATTGATTGATGATTTCTTACCTATTTCGATAAATCTCGAATGATACCAATATTTTTAATAACCGTTACTGGTTTTTCCGAAAATTTGTATTTAATTTTCTCACTATTATAAATCTTTGCCTTGCTGCGACGTTGTTTTCGAATAATTAAAACACTTCACGTCTTTGTAAATATAATATATTAAATATAATATACACTTTTTAAAATCAC